CCTGCAGAGTCGGTAGTCTGATACGAGCTTTAAGATACTATAATAAGAGACTAGTATAGGTTCTGGTTGGATAGAAAATGGCGTTCACAGGACGATAAGTCATAGGACGCGTTCGCAACTAGGACGGAAAAGCAGACAAAGTAGGAAAGCAGAAGCCAATCAGAATTCGGGCTGTACTATCATCTATTACCAGTACGACTTTTGATTGGCTTCTGCCATTCCATATCCAACCAATCAAAAATTAGCCCATCTATGCCAGTCTCTTATTATAGTGTCTCTATTCTCTCTCTGATATTACTCTGAAACGAAACGCAGCCCTAGTGATTTTACTCGAAAAAAAAGCGCGGGCGGAAGTGGTCAGCTTGCTGCAACCAGCTCCAACTTCAACTCTTCAAGTACAACTTGCAAACTGCAAAGTATGGTCACAGTATATACAGTAGCGCAACTCTTCTGATTTTATGTTGGCCAAAACGGAGTGCGCATGCGTGAAATAAGTAAGTTGCCTCGTCTCATTTTCTCCTTCTTTATTGCTTTCTCTCTCTCTATTTAAATGACCGTTTCAAAGTTTCATTTAAAGAGTTGAGAGCGGTTGAGAGTAGAAATTTGGAGGGAAATACAACGTGCATTGTCTATTTGGTGAAGTGTTGTGTGAGAAACCTCGAGAAACCTAAATTTTCTTTTATATCAACTGATAACATTTTGATACCTAGCATATATTTACAATTATGTAATATTTCTCTATATAAATATATGTTTTGAAGGTGATTTAATATTTTTTTAAATTTTTCTACATTTTTTCCTTATTTTTCAATATATTTACAATTTATTTTTATTAATTTTCATTAAGTTTAGATTATTTCATTGCAATAGTGGATTTATTCACGTTGCATGCTCCTACAATAGCTTTTACTCACTCCAACGCATTAGTTATATTATACCACCAACGAGATATTATTAAAGACCGACATCCTTATGGGAGTTCGCGTCCTTGTTAATATCGAAGTGATTAAGAGTAAAAAAACTGATAATATTGTACTAATTTTATGATTTATTAGTTTAGTAGACGTGTTTATCGGTGTACGTGCATTTAAAACTCAATAATACTCGATTTTTCTTTAAAATTGTGATTTCAATGTTATTGTCAAAGTTCGATTATCAACAGAGATAATAACTGCAGAGAAAAAAATTGTAATTTTTCGGCAATATATAGGATATTATAGCTTTACAAATATGCATATTTATTTATAGAGCATTTATGTAATAAAATATCATGAATTTAATAATGTATTAGTCAAATATTTATGTTAATAATAGCAAATTTATATCAATTGTCGAAAATGTCAGCGTTCTTCGATTACCTCCGGGCCCTTGAGGTCCTTTTTATACCGCCGAAAATTTGTTCAGGGTTGACGGTCTTTAATAGTATCTCGTCGGTGCTTTTACTCACTCCAACGCATTAGTTATATTATACTATAGATCTAGTGAGTTTTGACAAAGTGAAAAAAGGATAAAAAGAGAAAGAAGTCTAGATTCTATTTCTGTCATTCTATCCTTGTTTTACGTTTAATAAACAACGAAGATAGAATGACAGAAGTAGCGCTAATAGCGTCTGCCCGAACGCACCATAGGTGGTAACCAAGAAGACTAGAACCAGGAGAGTCAACTCGCGTGGTGGGGGTGAGTCAAAAAGCGTCACCCGCTGCTTACCCCCAACCCCTGTTGAGGACGATGCTCAGTAGTTCACTGAGTACCTCACAAAATTGGAATATTGTTTTTCGATTTTCTTTATCTCCAGGATTGAAGTCACAATTTCGAACACAGCACACTCGCTTGGGCATCGTAAATCACATCGGATTAAATTTTTACGGTTTATGTTTAGTTCAAAATTCAATCAAACAGAAACAAGGTACGTTGACATGCGCAGTCACGAATTGAAACCGACTATGTAGAGCAACAGAGAGGATGAAGCGCAAGAGTGGGGGGTGTCGTTCGTTTCCACTTCTTGCCTCACCCCCACTACCGCTTTTACGCCGAGTTGA